TAAATCTTACTAGGAGTTCGTGGGTTTGATTCCCACACGCCTCCCCCCTTTTTTTTCTTTTAATCTCCTCCTTAAATCTGATTGAGAGGTGGTGGGTTTGAATCCCACTCCTCTCATTTCTTATTTTTTTTCCTTTTAAGTTATATTTTTGAGCCAATACCATGGTTCAAAACACCTTCACCACATTTCTTTTTACTTATTTATTTTCATGTATTTCTTTCTTTTCTTTTGATTTTTCACCATTCTTTCATCAAGTTACACCTTAGTTCTTAGGGGAATTGCATAGTGCATTTAGAACGTTTTAGGTGCATTTTCATGGATTCATTTGGACAAGAGATTATCCCTTAAATCACTCATATTTCAACTCATATGAACATAAAATTTACATCAACATTTGTACGTGAAATATAAAGAACTATCATGCCATTTCAAGTCCTAAATCATGAAAAATAGCCACACCAACACACACATATACATGTCGTTACATTTTTGGAAACATCAACAGAAGTCACATAATTCTAAAGATACATATAAATACACAATGATCACAAAAACACGTTTAATCCCTAGTTATCTCCAACAAACATAACCAACCTATCATTCAATGGGAGCTAGTGATAGGGACATGAAATAGGGAACAATCCTAGTTTTCAGAATGAATATTCTGAATCTTAAGGGGTCTCTTAGGAAAGTGACCAAGAGAGAAGAGAACTCATAAATTTTTGACATTAAAGCCTTGACTTTATGCACAAAAATCCTCCCAAGAACATGTCTAAACCTCCTCATTATCAACTCCACTCGAATGACAACCTCCCTTAGCCTAGTGTTCGATTAACGTTTGTTTTCTTGTGATTTCGTGTGGGTTCTTCCAGTAAGAAGAACTTGGTTTATTTTTCTGCTTTTGTATCTTATTTTGGCATAGAAATTTCATGTGAAATAATAAGGGAGATTGAGCGTGAGAGTTTAGAGATAGACGTGAGAGAGTAGGAGTTATATTAGGCTTAGGAGTCTAGTTTAGGACTAATCAAATAAGGTTTACTTAATTATTAAAAATATGATTTTTTAATTTTTTTTTAAATAAGGTAATGAATAATATTATTAATTAATTATATTAATTCAATAGCTTAAATAAAAATCACATTAATTCATTGATTCCACCTAGGTTCGAACGAAGGTGAAGCAAGACTTCACTTCAAGAGCTCAATTTCGGCTCTCTCTCCCCAAATTACCCCTACACCTTATTCATTGAATGTTAATTGTGTATTTTGGGTAATTATGATATTACCCTTAGCCTGGAAAAAGACCATTTTATCCCTAGACCCTCCAAACCTAAGATTTTCCCTTTTTAAGTACGGTAAAGACTCCTTCAAGTAAATCTTCGTATTCGAGAGCCCTACATTGTTGGACCCAACCTTTGAAAGCTTTACTAACTCCCCAAGTTAGTTGGCTTGTCTGTAGAAAGGTTTCTAAGGTATGGTTCTACGCGCAACAATCCGTGTGAACCCTGGTCTAATTATCGGCATTCTTGACACATTAAGCATTTCTTATCTTATCTATTTTTAAGGTTGTTACAAATTGCTCTTCGGAAAATTCAAGCCCTAATAAAAGTGATGGAGAGGAATTCTCTACTAGTGAAGACCTAAAATTTCATCATGAAGAAGACTATATGTCCTCATCTGAGGAAGAATTTACGTCTTCCAGATTGACCAACCTTGTGATAAAGATAAGAATGAATTCTATTAGTTATATTCTCAGTTCAAGGACCTAATTATTAATGTTATAAGTAATGATAATTGGGTATAAATTCTTAGGATGATTTATGATCCAACATTAAGCTCTCAAATTACCGACAAAATTTGTATTACTAGTACCTCTACTAGTAGTACTAGAATTCTTAAAGAAAATGCTATTCATAGTAATGCTTATACCATGAAAGAATTAAGGAGACAACTAAAACATAGGTCTCAAAGGAATTATATTTCCAATACAATTCAAGACTTGGTTTAGGAGATTAATAATCTCAAAAAAGAAATATATTCTCTCAAAAATCATAATATGATTCTTGACGAGAGAATTACTTATATAGAAAGTAAGAACAAAAATCATCATGAGAAACATGTCATAGTTGAAGATGATCCTCCTAGTGTTCCAGAGAGTAATCTTCCTAACATCACTAATGAATCTACTGATGATAACAATTTATTTTTAGAAACTATCGAGCCAATTACAACTCATAAACCTTTAGCTAAAATTACTCTTTTTATTGATTATAAACTAAAGAAGGATTTTATTTCTCTTATTGAGAGTGGAGCTAATTTAAATTTCATTCAAGAAGGATTAATTATGTCAAGATATTTTAAGAAGAGTACATATAGTCTTCGTAATGCTAGTGGTCATAATGGATATTGAATTTAAAATTCCTAAAGTATATATATGTACAAATAATATATGTATGCATGAAATCTTTGTTTTAATAAAATAATATTTCCGATTAAATCACTCTAGGAATTCCTTTTTTTCCTGGTATATATATCCTATAACTTTACGGGATGAGATCGGAATAACTGGTACTTTCGAATGAAGAAAAATAAGAATAGATTTTACATCTTAACCTTTTTCAAAGTTAATTAATGAGGTTAAAAATATGATCTCCTTAAACAATAAACAAACTCATTTTCTTAAAAATAAGATTTATAGTCTTAACAATGAAGAGACTTTACAAAATCCTAAAATCCAAGGAAAGATTGATATTTTAAAAAATTCGTTCTCTCTATAAAAATGTGGAGATCACCCAAATGTTGTTTGGGAAGGGAAAAGACATGTGGTGAGTCTTCCTTATGAAGAAGAATTTTTGAACATAATATTCTCACTAAGGAAAGACCATGCCAAATGAATTTGATACGTATGAATTTATGTAAAAAAGATATTGATACTCTTTTTCAAAAGGGTCTATAAGGCCTAAAAATCTCCATGGTTCTGTACTAATTTTTATATTAATAAGCAAGCAAAACAAGAGAGAGAAGTACCCAGACTTTTCATAAATTATAATGCATTAAATAAAGTTTTAAAGTGGATTAGATATCATATTCCCAATAAAAAAGATTTATTAGATAGAGTTAATGAAGCTATCATATTTTCAAAAGTTGATTTAAAATTATGTTATTGAAAATTTTAAATTTCTTAAGAAGATAAACATAAGATAGCGTTTAATGTCCCAAAAGGACAATATGAATGGAATGTTATGCCTTTTGGATTAATAAATGCTTATTTGGAGTTTCAAAAAATTATGAATGATATTTTTAACCGTTGTAACAATTTTATCATCGTATATATAGATGATATTTTGATATTTTTAAAAACCTTAGAAATGCATTTTAAACCTTTTGGTCTATTTAATAAAATTATTATTCAAGATGGTTTGGTTTTTTATTTACCAAAAATGCATATTTTCCAAATCAATGTTAGGTTCTTAGGTCATAATATTGAAATGGAAAAAATATTGAAAAGAAGTATTGAGTTTGCATCAAATTTCCTGATGTTATTACTAATTAAACTTAGCTCCAACGATTCTTGGGAAGTTTAAAATATATTTCTCCTTTTGTAAAAGATCTGGCTAAGGACACAACTATATTATATGATAGGCTACGGAAAAATCCTAAAGCTTGGATTGATAATCATAATAAAGTAGTAAAAAAGATTAAGACAAAGATAAATAACCTACCATGTCTCACTTTAGCCAATCCAAATTGCAAGAAAATAGTGGAAACAAATGTCTCTGATATTGGCTACGGGGAAATTTTAAAACAAATTTTTCCTAATAAAAAACAAGAATACCTTATACAATTATATTTTGGAAAATGAACTAATAGTCAGAAAAATTCTGCTACTGTAGCTAAACAAATTTCGGCTATAGTTAAAAGTGTTTTAAAATTCCAAGGGGATATATATAACAAAAAACTTGTCATAAATGCTGATTGTCAAGCAGAAAAATTCATCTTTAATAAAGTTGTAAAATATGATGTTTCAAAACAAATGTTTGCAAGATGGAAAACTTTGTTAGGACCGTTCGATTTTGAAGTACATTATAAAAAGGGAACAGATAATAGCCTTCCTGATTTTCTTACTAGAGAATATTTAAGTTAATAACTCTTTGTCTATTAATAACAGGAGTGATGCGACCGTGTGGAAGTTCTTCCTCTAATAGAGAAAGGGGAAGAGGAAAAACACCTATGGGAAGAAATAATATTTTGGCCCAAATAGGAAACAAGAAGTTAATAGATTCAAACATTACAAAAGAATATGCAAGCGTATCAAGAATTAACATTGAACATCCGATGTACACAAAATACATGAATTTATACAACCCAAACAAGCTCAGGGTAATAACCGACCATCCTATTCTTCAGCTGTTATTGACGAAGGAAATGAAAATATTGAATTATATAATAAAAATGAGAAAGATTAAGTAATACTTCTTCTTGAGCCCATGATTTACAATGGAAAGACGATCTATGGCAAATTATGAAAAGGTATTTAGATACAACATCTTTTACCGTCCTAACTTATAAATATAAAATGCATTATCAAATAATTCTCTCTACCCTTGGATCAACTAAATTTCAACACTTTTACCCAACTAATACTAATTTTTTTTATAACATTTCAAAATTTTTTATAAAGTATTTGTATTATAGTGAATGTCTATCATGTGGAGTCCTTTTTAGGATATGATTAAAGAGTCCTCCTACTTGGGGACCAAGTTAGATTTCTCCTATAAATAGAGTGCTCCTCTTCATTGTAAATTCATTCATCAAGAGAAATAAAAAGTCTTCTCTTTTTTTCTCTCTAGCTTCTTCTTCTTATTCTATAGTTTTATAACACGTTATCAGCACGAGACTCTAATTTCTCAAAAGTGAAGGTGAGACTCTAATTTTTCAAAAGTGAAGGTTAGATTTGACGAATTAATAAAGGTATTATTTATTCTTTTGTTTTTAATTTTAATGGCCAATCTTACAAAACTAGAGTTCACTGCCCTTCAAAGTTCGGGCAGGAACTACCTCTCATGGGTGTTGGATGCTGAAATCCACCTTGATGCAATGGGTCTTGGAGACACCATAAAAGAAGAAAATAAGGCATCAAATCAAAACTGTGCACGAGCAATGACATTCTTGCGTCATCATCTCGACGAGATTCTGAAAATCGAATATATGACAGGTAAGGATCCACTTGTTTTATGGAAAAACCTAAAAGAAAGATTTGACCACTTGAAGATGGTCATACATCCAAAGGCACAATATGATTGGATGCATCTAAGGCTACAAGACTTTAAGTCTATACATGAGTATAATTCTGCCATGTTCAGAATCACTTCTCAATTGAAATTATGTGGAGAAACGGTTAGTGAGATTGATATGATGGAAAAGACGTTCTCCACTTTCCATGCCTCGAATGTTCTCTTGCAGCAACAATATCTAGAGAAAGGTTTCAAAAAGTATTCTGAACTAATTTCTCATCTTCTTGTGGCCTAGCAAAATAATGATTTATTATTGAAAAATCATGAGAATCGACCTACTGGATCTGAACCACTTCCTGAAGTGAATGAGGCATACGCCCACCATGCTAGGCGTGGAAAAGGTCGCGGTCCTCGTGGTCGTGGAAGTGGTCGTGGACGTGGACGTGGTCGTGATTATGGTCAAGAACGTAATTCTAATCTTGGCATTAATCATTCATCAAATAAAAAGGAAAAAAGAAAGGATGAGAAACGTGAAACAACTAGGGAAGGTTGTTTTCAATGTGGTGGAAGAGGTCATTATGCACGTGATTGTCGTACTCCCAAACACTTGGAAGTAGCAGATTTCTTCGCACATCCTGAAGGAAAAATAGATCACTTAATTGGTGATGATTCTGTGAGCATGGAAGAGTGATATTTTTTTTGTAGTATTTATTAATAAATTTCATGTAATGATAGTTGTTTGCATGAATATTAGTATTTTAAATTAGTTTAGTCGTTCATTAGCTTGTTCCTTAATTCTTAATAATATAATATATATTTTTCATTGATTTATTTATATGATTCTAATATGATAGAGTTAGTCAAATACTAAACTTTATCACGTGTTTGTATTATATTAGGTCTTTAACTTGATGTAATGTTAAAAACATGCAGTCTGTTATTAACTAGGATTAAATAATGATTTTATTTTATTTTCCTAACAACTCGTTTTTGACTTAGAGGAAACAATAAATTAAGGCTCAATTTCTAATATTTAATCATTAATTTATTCCTTTGAATATGTTGTACCCTTTTGACAACACTAATATTTAATATATATTTATTTTGTGTATGTCATTTTATGTGAAGATATGGATAATTCTAAGAACATATTATCGAAATATGAAGATATTTGTTTGATTGATTCTGGTACAACACATACGATATTCAAAAATAAGAAATATTTTTCTCATTTAAGTATGGGTAAAATAAATGTTACTACAATTTTTGGTAGTACTAATATGATTGAGGGCTTTGGAAGAGCCATTGTAATTTTGCCCAAGGGAACTAAACTCATCATTAATAATGTTATGTTTTCTCCAAAATTTAAGAGAAACTTGTTGAGTTTTAAAGATATCCGTGAAAATGGTTATCATATCCAATAAATGGATGAAATAAATCTTGAATATCTTGGTATCACCAAGAATGTCTCTGGGCAGACATGTGTTATAGAAAAGTTCCATGCTTTATCTTCTAGATTCTACTGGACAAAAATTAGTGAAATTGAGGCACATTTCATAGTAAATAAGAAGTTTACTGATTCCAATACATTTGTACTTTGGCATGATCGTCTAGGACATCCTGGGTCAATAATGATGAGACGAATTATAGAAAATTCGAATGGACATCCACTAAAAGACCTAAAAGTTCTTTTAAATGGTGAATTTTCTTGTACTGCTTGTTATCAAGGCAAGTTAATTGTGAGAACATTACCAATGAAAGTTAAGATTGAGTCCCCTGCGTTCTTGGAACGTATACATGGGGATATTTGTGGACCTATTCACCCACCTAGTGGGTCATTTAGATATTTTATGGTTCTAATAGATGTGTCTTCTATATGGTCTCATGTATGCCTATTGTCATCTCGTAACTTGGCATTTGCAAAATTATTGGCACAAATAATAAGGTTAAGGGCACACTTTCCTGATAATCAGATTAAGTCCATTCGTCTTGATAATGCTGCAGAGTTTTCATCCCAATCATTTAACGATTACTGTTTAGCGATTGGGATAAGAGTTGAACAGTCTGTTGCTCATGTTCATACTCAGAATGGTCTCGCTGAATCATTGATTAAATGTTTGCAATTAATAGCAACACCATTGCTTATGAAAACTAAGTTGTCCACTTCTGTGTGGGGACATGCAATTTTGCATGCTGCAACACTTATTCATCTAAGACCGACAAGTTATCATAAAGTTTCTCCATTGCAATTGGTTATGGGTCAAGGACCTAATATATCCCATCTAAGAATTTTTGGAAGTGCTGTATATGTGCCTGTGGCACCACCAAACCGCACTAAGATGGGCTCTCAAAGAAGGTTAGGAATATATGTTGGGTTTGAGTCACCCTCCATTATTCGCTATCTTGAACCATTGACTAGAGACATGTTTACTGCTAGATTTGCAGATTGTCGGTTTGATGAGACAATTTTCGCAAAATTATGGGGAGAGAATAGTGAAATAAAATAAGAAATTTTGTGAAAAAATTTATCATTGTCTCATCTTGATCCATATTCTTCTACTTTTGAACAAGAAGTACAAAAGATTATTCATCTGCAGAAAATTGCAAATCAAATGCCAAACGCATTTACAGATTTGAAAAGGATTACTAAATCACATATTCCTGCAGAGAATGTCCCAATTCGAATTGATGTCCCTAAAGGACCATCTTCTAGTGTCATAGCTAATGAGTCAAAAAGACAACTAAAGCGTGGTAGACCATTGGGGTCTAAGGATCAAAATCCTAGAAAAAGAAAGATTAAATGTCAAGATGACACTATGAAAGAATCTCATATGGAAGTTCAAAATTTGAATAAGTCTGATATCCATGAAAGAATCAATGAACTTGAAACTCAAAGAAATAATGAACTATCCATAAATTTAAGAGATGTTGAAATTAATATGAATCGATCAGAAATAGAGGTTGATTATGTCTTTGCATATAATGTTGCAACAAATATCATGCAAGATAATGAGTATCATGAATCTCAATCTCTTATAGAATGTCGACAACGAAATGATTAGCCAAAATGGCAAGAAGCAATTCAATCAGAGTTGAATTCACTTGCCAAGCGTGAAGTCTTTGGACCTATAGTTCAAACACTTAATGGTATTAAACCTGTTGGTTACAAATGGATTTTTGTGCGAAAAAGAAATGAGAAAAATGAAATACAAAGGTATAAAGCACGCCTTGTGGCACAAGGATTTTCTCAAAGGCCTGGCGTCGACTATGAAGAGACATACTCACCCGTTATGGATGCAATAACATTGCGTTATCTTATTAGTTTCACAGTCCATGAGCAACTTGAAATGCATTTGATGGATGTGGTTACAGCCTACCTTTATGGATCACTTGATAATGAGATATACATAAAAATTCCTGAAGGATTTGCGATGCCTAAATCATGTAATTTAAAATCTCGAGAAATGTATTCAATTAAATTGCAAAGATCATTATATGGTTTGAAGCAATCTGGGCGCATGTGGTATAACCGTCTTAGTGAGTATTTAATTAAGGAAGGTTATACAAATGATGCAATTTGTCCATGTGTCTTTATAAAGAAAACAATATCAGAATTTGTTGTACTTGCTATTTATGTTGATGACATAAATCTTATTGGAACTCCAATAGAGCTTCAAAAGGCAATTGATTATTTAAAGAATGAATTTGAGATGAAAGATCTGGGAAGAACAAAATTATGTCTTGGTTTGCAAATTGAGCATTTGACAAATGGTATTTTTGTTCATCAATCTACCTACACAAAAAAAGTGTTGAAAAGATTCTGTATGGATGAAGCGCATCCATTAAGTACTCCGATGGTTGTTCGTTCACTTGATGTGAAAAAGGATCCATTCCGACCTCAAGAAAAGGATGAAGAAATTCTTGGTTCTGAAGTACCATATCTTAGTGCAATTGGTGCACTAATGTATCTTGCTAACACTACAAGGCCGAATATAGCTTTTGCTGTTAACTTGTTAGCAAGGTATCGTTCTGCTCCTACTAGGAGACATTGGAATGGGATCAAACACATTTTGCGATATCTTAAAGGGACAACTGATATGGGCTTATTTTATTCTGTTAATTGTAGCCCAAATCTTGTTGGTTATGCTGATGCAGGATATTTATCTGATCCACACAAATCTCGATCCCAAACAGGCTATGTGTTTATATGTAGGGGGACTGCCATATCTTGGAGATCTACAAAGCAGTCCATTGTAGCCACTTCATCTAATCATGCTGAAATAATAGCTATTCATGAAGCAAGTAGAGAATGTGTGTGGTTAAGGTCTATGATACATCTCATTCGAGAGAAATGTAGTTTGAAATGTGATAAAGTACCCACCACTTCATATGAAGATAATGCAGCATGCATAGCACAACTTAAGGGAGGATTCATAAAAGGAGATTGATCAAAGCACATTTCACCGAAGCTTTTCTATACACATGAACTTCAAAAGAATGGTGATATAAATGTGCAACAGATTCGTTCAAGTGACAATGTGGCTGATCTATTTACCAAGTCTCTACCAACTGCAACTTTCAAGAAGATGGTGCACAAGCTTGGAATGCGAAGATTCAAGTCTCTGGATTAATGTTCTCATTAGGGGGAGTGAATACGCGCTGTACTCTTTTTCCCTTACGAGGTTTTGTCCCACTGGGTTTTCCTTGTAAGGTTTTTAATGAGGCAGCCTAGATGCGTATCAATAGATATGTGTACTCTTTTCCTTTACTAGAGTTTTTCTTTTCTTAAAGTATTTTTAGTAAGGTTTTTGACGAGGCACATCATCTATGAATTAGACATTCAGGGGGAGTGTTATAAATTATTTGTATTATAGTGAATGTCTATCATGTGGAGTCCTTTTTAGGATATGATTAAAGAGTCCTCCTACTTGGGGACCAAGTTAGATTTCTCCTATTAATAGAGTGCTCTTCTTCATTGTAAATTCATTCATCAAGAGAAATAACAAGTCTTCTCTTCTTTTCTCTCTAGCTTCTTCTTCTTATTCTATAGTTTTATAACAAAATTAATATTTTTTTAAAATATTCACCCTAGAAGAATGGGGAACAAACACGATGAGGGAAAGGGAATATATCCATCTACAGCAAAAAATTGCAATCAAGTTTAATTAGTGGGATTATATCGAGAGCTTTAATAAAGCCTTGTTATATGAAAGTTCTAATAGAAAGCATTAATGGCGTATAAAAATATTCTCTCATGCTTACTAACAACATATACAAAATTGGTTTTGCCAATGGTGGATTTTATATAGTCCATCTATAAATATATTCTCGGAAGGATATAAAAAATCATATGCTGAATGGGTTGATGTATCACCCGAATAAATAAAGTTACAAAAATATGATATATTATTTAAAGGAATGTCGTTGATGTAATTTCTCATTGAATTCCATGGATAATGCAATAAAAAGTCGAAGTCCAAATAAATGAAGAAGAATTTCCTTGCTTAAGAAAAAAAATTCATAGAAAATTTTGGAGTAAATTACTCTAGAGGGATGGTGAAGGAAAAATCCATGGACAGGATATTATAAACTCCATTAAAGATTCTATCGAGATTAACAAGCATCAATCAGAAATTATAAAAAGCCGATATGATACCAGTCCTTTCAACAGATAACCATAAGACTACAAAT